AAAAAGTATACTTAAACAATCCTGGTGTGGAAGCTAGGCCAGCAAAGGCATCTTGGGAAACTTAAACCAGAACTACCTTAACAGAGTAATACGTAACAGGGGGTTGATTTTAGACAAAAGAAACTACATGAGCAGAGAAATTCAATGGAGACACGACCCTTCCTGGAAACTAAAAGTACCCTTTCCTTGCCTGCCAAAACCAAAGCCGAAGTATAACCGTGTGTCATTTGTCAAGACCTGGAACATCAACTCTGCCTAGTGTGTGGCTCTATCGAACCTGCAGTCTTGCTATTGCTCCCACTTGCAGTCCAACTCCTTCCTGGAAGGGTAAGATCCACTCCCTGTAGAATCAAGTTACTGGCAGGGGTCTCCTTCGCAAAGAGGATAATTACCAGAGTGCAGCCGGAATAAAGGCCGCGCGCGGGGGCAGGGAAAGCACTTGCCATGGGGGTGGGTGGTGAGGGAGCCCACCAACTGCCCAGTTCCAGGGAACGGGGAGAGGGAGCTCAGACTGGGGATGAGAACGACTTCCGGGCGCAAGGACACTAGGAGCGTAGGCTCTCCGCGTCCCGCCACGCGGCGGCGGCGAGCGGGCAGGGGACCGCAGGGCACGCGATGGCTGTGAAGGGGGACCGAGAGGGCGCGCGAACAGGCGCCCGCCGCCCCGGAGGTCCAAGCTCAGCGCCGGTCTGCGGGGGGAGGGGGTGTCGCGGCTTTCAAAGCCTGAGGTCAGCAGGGCGCCCACTCACCGCTGCTGCTGGTGAAGTAGAACACCATGATCTCAGTGGCTGTGGGCGACACCTGCACCAAAGAGTAGGACTCAAGTCGCAAAGCTCAAGACACCAGAAGCTCGGCGACCGCCTGCTCCCCGGAACTCCTCAGCGCACTTCCGGCGCACATCGGGTTGCATCATAACGACATCCGTCAGCGCCATCTTTAATCTTGGCAGGACTGAGGGTGTTGGCCGGGATGGGACGTTAATGACGGGAGATTGAGAGGAGCTGAGGCTTTTTGGAAAGCAACGCCGTCTTCGAAGCTATAAAAGAAAAACGCTACTGGCAGACCATATTTTCACATTCTACATTCTGGATAGTCACATCATGAGGGTTATTTATTGGTTTTATTGCCTACACTTAACACTCTGTGGGTTCCACTGCCTCTTTTCACGGCTTGTGCTGATCACATTCCTTAGCACCTAGTAGGAGCTCATTGCATTTTGGTTTTTTTTCGTTTTTGGTACCAGGAATGGAATTCAGGACTTTGTGCTTGCCAGGCAGGCGCTGTGCCACTGAGCTATATCCCCAGCAGAGCTCATTACATTTTAAATGAACTCACATACCACCACTATTTGATGAAGATTCTTTGCTTAGCCAAACTCTTTAGTCAGACTTATGAATCTTGTGCTAGGCCTGTCTGTGCGCTCCTTATAAAATTCAGTTTTACAAAAACCTCTCCAAAGTCAGGTTTAGCAGGCAATCCACCCTCCATCCTCAATATCTGACCAAGTTCTTAATCTTCCAGCATCCCTCTGGTGATCTCTGACTGACCTTGGCCTGTCTTCAGCAAGATCCTATTACAGCAGTTTAGCCAGAATCCTCCTAACCCCAGATGTTTCTACTTAGTGGTTTTTCTATCCATTGACCTCTACCTACTGCCTCCGCTATAACTCAAGCTGTATTTGGAGTTTAGCCCAATCTCTAACCCCACTGCATAACCCCTTATCACAATGATCCCGAGTAAATTCTTACCATGTTTTAGTCAGAGTAATAATTTTTTCTTGAACATATTTTAACTTCAGCATTTATAAGGTGGATATTTGGCATGTTAGTTAAGCTTTCTGCTTCACTTCATTTGCTGATTAACAGGTATCAAGGGTGGAGAGTACAATGAACACTCAAACAAATTGCCTCTAGGGGTTTGGTTTTTTGGAGTTTTGTTTGTTTGTTTGGTTGGTTTGTTGTTTGTTTGTTTGTTTTGTTTTTTCTGGTACCCGGAGTCGAGCTCACGACCTTGCACTTGCCAGGCAGGCGCTGTGCCACTGAGCTAAATCCCCAGCCCCCTTCTAGGGGTTTGGATACAGATGGTTCTGACTTTAAATCTAAGGTCAGCAGTCTGTTATCTAAGATATGGGCAAATCCCAGATCTCTGAACCTCAGAGATCCTCTTAACATAAAGCAGGGGTAATCTTTGTATAAAGTTCTCATAGCACTTGATGTTAAACAAAAAATTATGTTAAACAATTTATGTTACTTCTGTTAAACAAAAAATTATGAAAAGCCATTGTTTTATTTATTTACTTATTCATTGCTTTTCTGAGATAAAGTCTCACTATTCCGGTCTGGCTCGTTTTGAACTCACTTCTGTAGCTCAGGCTGGCTCGAACTCACAATGATTCTCCTGCCTCAGCCTCTTGTGTGCTAGGATTAACCCCCAACCCCCGCCAATGTTTTAGACTGAGTACCTTCCCTAGGCTTCAAGAGACCAGACCAGAAGAAATTTAACCAAAATGCCAAAGGCCACACAATCAAACTGAGCCTTTAAGGAAGTGAATAGATCCCAACATAGACCAATCTTTCCCGAAAAACCGAAGTTCCTCCTCTACCTGAATATGTGTAATAAAGAATTCCCCTCTGCTTTAACCCTAACAAAAAGTAACCTCATGTTAAGGAGTTTTTCCCACCCTAGTGTTCTGTTTCCTTGTTTCCACATTATAAAACCCACTATTCTGCTACTGACTAATGGAAGCTTCTGTTCTGTCTAGTATTTAAGAATACATCATATATTCATGAATTGTGAATAAAATCCAATAAGATCTACAACTAAATGTGTTGCAAATTTGTCATCTGACACTTTATTCTGACCAAGTTACTTGGTGAAATTGAGTGGATCATTTAACTAAGTTTAGTTAGAGCTAAAAGTGTGCCCGAGACTATCAGGAGCTGGTAACACTAACAATAGACAAGTGCTTTAAGAACCTTCCTTTTTTCAAAGCAAGAACCTAGCTATATACCATAAATAGTGACTCTTTTCGGGCCTTCAGTTTTCTTTTTTTTTATGTTTTAAAATTTTATTAGTACTTTTGTACAAGATTGCATTCATCGTGAGGAGATGTGCACGTATATAACACATAATAATACATATCTCGGGTTGTGGTGAGGAGTAAGTGAAATAAAACATGTAAAGTAATGCTTCGGAGGTAGGAGATGCTCATGCCCTGATTTAATTTTTTAAATTTAACTTGAATTAAAAAGTATAAACAATGAAGTATTACTAACTTTTAAAAAGGTGAAGATAACGATCAAACTTAAGTACTCTGAGAATCTGGAGCGATTACAAATGCTTCTTATGGGGACTGGAGATATATAGCTCAGCGGCATAAGTGCCTGCCTAGGAAGCACAAGGTCCTGAGTTCGATTCCCGGTACAAAACAAAAACAAAACACAAATGCAAAAAAACAAAAACAAAAACAAAAACCACAAATGCTTCTTATGGCAAGGGACCCAGAATTTGACTTCTTGCTCTTCTGAAAACTACAATTCCCAGAATACACCTCAACAAGGCTGAGGGAAGGTAGCTCCGCGCTTGGTGCGCCCTGAAGGGGGCGTAGTTTCCGTGAGGGAGGAGCTGTTTTGCCTCTCAAGGGCGGGAGAATTTTGGAGCGAGCCTCCTGGGTGGGAGGGGCGAGGACTAGAGAGCGACCAATCACCAAAGCAGCCTGTGGAAGCGCTGCAGAGCGACGAATCGGAACTCAGCAACGCCTGCCGCTTCTGGCGCGCGTTAATTTGAATACAGGAGCGACTGCTGGGCTGAGGAGCGGTCCTGGCGCGCTGAGGCGCAGGTTTTCTCTGAGAGCAACCAGCTGGGAGAGGAAGGCCGAGGAGACGTGGAAATTAGTGGAACGTGGGGTAAGTGTCACAGAAAAAGCGTCTTCTCCGGACTTGGTGGGTTGGCGGGCTCGGAACCGAAGCCACGGAGCGGCTGTCCATGCCGGAGGGCGCAGGGTTTCCCGGTCCCTGCGCCCGCGTTCTCCCAGCGCGTTTCCCTTACAGATTTGGGGACGGGGGACCCTGGCGCTTTGCTCCCCCGCCCCGGGAGGTCTTGCCTTCATCCTCGCCGCCCCCGGCCTTCTGTTTGTCCCGCTTTGAAATCGCGCCTGTGACGTGGGGGGGCGTCCTGGTCCAGGTGAGGGGACGGGAACGAACTCGCCCTTCGGATCGAGCTCGCTTGCGCGGTTATCATTTGCAGCGGCCCTACGAGGTAGGTCAGAGTGGTTTACGTCTTGCTAGAAGGATTTTCCAGTTAAAAATAAGTCAACCTGCTTTTACTTCTGGTTACTTGCTACTGTGGTGTATGTAGTATTTTCTCCCAGATTCATGGCTTCAGGCTTCGTTAAAATAATTTGCTTTTTGAAAATGTTTTCTCTTGGCTTTTTATGGACCGTCACTTATCCGAAAGCTTTTCAGACTTTAAAAGGACAATTCTGATGTAGTGATTTTTATACCCATTTGATGACTGGTTATTGTACTTGATCTATTGCTTGTAGAAATTCAATTAAGATGGCACCTTTTACTCCAAAGAAGAGGAAGCAGCGTTCATTGGACAGTGACAGGTGAGTCTCAGCCTATGCATAGAAACTCTTAAGAAAAATCCATCTTGTGTTCTCTCTCTTAAAATATATTTCCATGAAAATTACTTTTTTTTGGTACCAGGAATTGAACTTATGACCTCACACTTGCCAGGCAGTGTCATGCCACTGAGCTATGCCACTGAGCTATATTCCTGGCACTCAGAAATTACATTTTTATATTCCCATAAAAAATTACATTTTCATATTTCTAGTAGTCTGCTCCTTTTGGTTACAGTGATACTCTAATTCTAGTTTGGAAATACAGCAAGCTTTTACAATGAATTATGTAGTCCTTTTGGAGGCTAAGAGAACACTTTTCTATAGTTAGGAAATATGTCAGATCTTTTTTATTTTCTTATTCTCCACTCACCACTGTAATATTGAACATAGTGTTTTGCAAAGAGCAGTTGCTCATCTGTAAGCAATGCTAGAAAATCTATGGACAGTGATCCTCCTTACCTGTAGCTTTGCTTTCTAAAGTTTTAGCCACCTACAGTCAACTGTGATCTGAAAATATATAATGGGGAAAATGAGTACAGGACAGTAAGATATTTTGAGAGAAAGGGAGAGACCACATTCACATAACTTACTATAGAGACTGGGGATATAGCTTAGACACACAGCACCTGCCTGGCAAGTGCAAGGTCCTGAGTTTGATTCCTGGTACAAAGAAAAACTTACTATAGCATATTGTTATAATTATTACACTATGTTATGGTTGTTTATCTCTTTCTGTGCCTCATTTGTAAGTACAATTTTATCGTAGGTATGTATGTATGGGGAAAAACAGTACATACAGGCTTTGGTGGTAGTTACAGTTTCAGCCTGAGAGGAGGAGGAGTAGTAGTTTTAGAAGATATCCCACAGTGGTGACAAACCTATGGCATGCATGTCACAGTGGGCTGTTTGTATCTTTGAGAGCTCTAAAAGTTTTGCTATCATTGATATTCCCTGTGGGTAAAGGGAACTACTGTATGTGGAACTCAGCTACATGTCATGCCAGAGATTACAAAAATTCCAGAGGAAAAAACCCCAGAAAGTCAGTTTATTACAGAGAATTAATCATTATAGGGGACTTTTATATCCAATTAAGCAAAATATGTAGGCTATAATTTGTATGTGGCCTAGACATACAAAATAGATTTTTTTTTTTTTTTTTGGTCGTTTTGAGACATGCAGTTCAGGCTGCCCTTGAGCTCACTTTGTAGCCTAGGCTGGTCTCGAATCCCTGACAATCCTCCTGCCTCAGCCTCCTGAGTGGTGGGATTCCAAGTGAGCGCCACTACAACCCACTCTAGAAATAGATTTTGAAAGACACACATATACATATATATCAAAGTTTCTTTTTGAACAGAATTTGATTCCATGAACATTATTGGTGTCTTCCTTTAAAAGATATTAGAATAGTTTGATAAAGACAGAGTTTGAGAATTCTGTTAAACTAATACATAATGTGTATGTTTGGGAAAAAGGATGTATTGTTTTTTACATCACCTGTAGGGAGTTTTTTTTTTTTTTTTTAAGTAGATTTGCATAAATTTTGAAGCAAAATAGTGAATTTATTGGACTTTGTTTTCATAGCCTGTTATCAGACCTCCCATCAAAGAAATTAATTTTGGACTTTGCTGAAAATCTTCTTCTATCGCCTAATAAAATACATACTTGTGAAAACAGTGAGACAAATGAAGAAAATGTGCCTTGCTCTCATCAAAACCATTTCACTTCAAGTCCGCTTAAAACAACTAAAAAAAATAGAGTGCCACCTGCAGATCACAGTTCACCATTTAAATCTGCTGTGTCCACTGTATCTTTTTACAATAAGGATAAGTGGTACCTCAATCCACTGGAGAGAAAGTTGATAAGAGAGAGTAGATCTGTTTCTCTACAGCCTAATGAAGATAAATTTGTTCCCGTTGTGGCAGAAAAAATACAAGGAAAACTAGTGTGCACCAAGAAAAGGAACAAAAAACCACAGAAAAGTTTAACTACTAAGAATCGACCAAGTTATAAGCACATCAAGCCTGTACCGAAAAATTCTAAAACTTCCAAGAAAAATCGAATTCCCTATAAGCCAGCTGTGGAGGAAGAGAATGACTGTTACTCAACTGAAAGTAATCTGAATACTCCTCGGGTCTTAAGCCAAAAAAGAAAACCACAAACTACACTCCAGGGTGGAGCAGCATTTTTTGTTAGTCGAAAAAAACTCTCTCTTAGAAGAGTGTCTCTGGAAAATAAGCCATCAGTGGGCCTCAACCAAAAGAATAAATCAGAAGTGACTGAAGACTGTGATGCAGAGACTCTATGTGAAAGAAAAACTTTTGTGAAAGAACAAGTGCCCAAGTACTTGTTACTAGAAAAGAAATTGAATATTGAGCTGAGTGCAAGAAGTAAAAATGAAGAGAAATTATTAAAGGTAAAGATGGTCAAATACATCACTGTAAAAACAGCTGGTTATTTAGCAAAACTTCAATATAGATAATATATGTAATAAAGCTGGACAAAATTTGATCTTTTTGTGTGTGTGTGGTGCTGGGGATCAAACCCAGGGCCTTGCGCACGCAAGGTAAAAGCTCTACCCCTGAGACACAACCCCAGCCCCCAAAGTTTGATCTTTACAGTTTGCTTTGTTTTTGTTTTTTGATACAGGATTCACTATATAGTTCAGACTGGCCTTGAACTTACTATGTAGCCTAGGCTCGCCTTAAATTTGCAGTGATCTTACTGCCTTTGCCTCTCCTGAGTGCTGGGATTACAGGCATATGCCACCATGCCTGGCTTGATTTTTATATTTTGAAAAGCTGCTCTTATAAAGCCTAATAGTATAAAGAATTTAGAGGTGGAGCAGAAAGATGATAGTTTTTTTTCCTTTTTTTGTGGCTTCTGGTAGTATTTTCCTAGAGGATAAGCCTGTTATATTTTGAATTTGTTTTAGCTCATTGTTTAATGTAGTATATTATCCTAGAAATTTTAGAGAGGACAGCAAGTGCATATATGTAAAAGAAATGTCTGTAATTCCACTGGAGATGATTACTGTTATGCATGCATGTGTGTTTGTGATATCTTCACAGCTGCCATTCTGTGCTTTCAATTGATCTTTTTATATCAACATAGGTTAGTGCCATCTGATAGAAATGTGATATTAGCCACATGTAATTTAAAATTTTCTACTGGCCACATGTGAAAAAGTAAAAAAAAATTAACCAATGTATTTAAAAATGTTATTTCAGTGTAATCAATATAAAAGTTATTAATGAATTATTTTATATTTTCTTTTTTCCAAAGCTCTTAAAATCCATGTTTATTTTACTGTCTCAATTCACAATAGTCACATTTCAAGTTCTCATCAATTGCATGTGGCTGGTGGCTGCCTTACCAGATTATATAAGTAGACTTTTATTATTTGATGTGTGTAATCTCAATCAAAGAAAGGTCCTTTTTTTTCAGGTAGCTAATGACAGTTGACACATCAGGCCTTCAGAAAGGGATCTCCCAGTTCAGGGCTTCTGTGTCTGCAATATCATAGACTCACTGCAGCCCTTACAGCTAGAGAAACGATAGCCCTGAAATGCAATGCCTTATTACAGTCTGAGGCTTGAGTATGGGTAATTCAAGCTCCAGTCATCCCCATCCTAATTCACCTGTCCTCTTCTACTTTCTCTCAGATTCAGCCCCAATTTATACCTCTTGTAGCCTCCTAAATGCCAAAACTCAGTGGCAAAGATAAAACTGGTGGACAGTGGATCAAATCCAGCCTACACCATGTTTTCCTTGTCTTATGAAATTAAGTATTTTGAGCCAAAAATTTTTTAGATCCAAGAAAACATGTCTGGTGTCTCATGAAAAATTGGAGGGTGGCAAAACTGAGCTTTCATTCCTGCATGGTAATCTCTTATAGCTGACTATCATATTATTTGATGTCATAGTATTTGGCAGGTATGAGCTTTTCCTTTTCCGTCGTTAAGTCAGTATATATATTTTGATCAGTCTAGTTTTCATACTAATTTTACTTACCTGTTGCTTTTATAGGCACTAAAGTTTATAGTCCCTGCTATAAATGTTTGCTTCTGTTTACTAAGTATGGCCGAGATATTGTTAAGTGAGACATATTCTTGCTGTTAATCCCTGATAATCTAATTCTACTAATTGTTCATATTCTATTTATTAAAAAATACTCTTGATATTTTGATATGTAGTATATATTAAGTGGATATATAAGTTTATCAGTATTACTTTAAGTATATACCTATGAACTTCATTATATATAAACTTTGCCAGTTTAAAAAAAAATTGAGTTACAATTCAGGTTAAAAGTAAAGCTCAGCAAAACGAAATAGAAGACAATTTTCTTATCCATATCCTATGTATTACCTACTTGGTAATGAAGTCACAACTGCTGTGTAGTAAAGGGATAAATTTTCTGCAGCATCATTTTTGTCTTATTTTTTTATTTCTTAGCTTCACTCTTTAGAGCTAGGTATTGAGTTCTGTCTCATTTTCAGTAGTATGAGACACTGGACTTTTTTACATCTTAAATTTTTAGAACTAGGCTGTGTCGTCTTACGATTTTGTTAAATACGCACTGTTAGGGTTTATCTTTGCTAGCTAAAGATGAGTCTGAAAGGATATAAGGATCCCTCTTTCCCCAATGCATAGAGCCCAGAAAAATGGCTGAGATACAGTCTTAAATAGAAGTTCTGCTTCAGAGTTTCTCCTTTTTCCTAGGATATATAGTCCCTAACTCTCACCAAATTAGTAGTATTAGTAAAATTTGTCAGGATCTCTTCTGCTTTCTTTACTACTTCATTTTTAAAGTCAATTACAAGAAGTTGTCTCTTTCCGGCTTGGTGGCTTCTGGGGGGTTTGCCCATCTTTACTTACATTCATTTTATTGTGGAAAGACAGTCTGTAGTCTTTATTCAGCCATCTTTATCTGAAAATACATTTTTTACAAAGATGACAAATTACAATATGTGTACTTTGGCTTTTATTTATTTTGTTTATTTTTGGCTTTTAAAAGGATATACAACTGGGCGTGGTGGCGCTTGCCTGTAATCCCAGTACTCGGGAGGCTGAGGCAGGAGGACCACTGAGAGTTCAAGTCCAGCCTGGGCTACAAAGTGAGCTCATGGCCCATCTGAACTACACAGCGAGACCATGTCTCAAAAAGACAAAAAAAAAGGATATACATTTAATAAACTGAGGGTATAAAAATCAGTGTAGAATATAAATCATAACTATTTTTTTGCTTTAGAAACAGATGTATTAGGGTTCATTTACTAAATAGAAAACTAAGCATTCTTAGTACCTTTACCTTTTTACTTTCCTTTTCAGGATGCATCAGGTGCAGTAGTTTCTTCAAAGGAATACACACTTGATAAAAATAAGCATTTGCCTTCAGATGATACTCTTGGTGAGAACAAAAGTAAGAAAATTTCTTAAATAAGGTTAGCTATTTGTGATAATGCTTCATTACATGTGTCAGTGTAAAATTCATATATAGCAATTTCTGAGTTATTAAAATTTTTTACTGATATGTCTATGAAGTTATCTTTGTGTTTATCTCTGTGGCACTATTTTCTCTGATAAAGCAGTGTGTAGTACATTTTAAAAAGCAGAAGAGGGGCTGGGGATTTAGCTCAGTGGCATAGCGCCTACCTGGCAAGCGCAAGGTCGTGAGTTCGATTCCCGGTACCAGGGAAAAAAACAACACAAACAACAAAAAAACAGAAGACAAGGGCCGGGGATATAGCTCAGCGGCACAAGCGCCTGCCTGGCAAGCACAAGGTCCTGAGTTTGATTCCCAGTGCTCCCCTGTACACCCCCCAAAAAAAGCAGAAGACAAGATTTTAGATTAAAACTAGACAAAAAAACCACTAATACTTGAGAATGGCTGTGGCCAAATTACTTAAGCTTTCTGGAATTGGATGTGTTCTCATTATAAAATCATGTTTAATCCTTTTATCTAAAATATAAGAAGGAGTAAACAATTTATGTTATACGTATTTGCGATCAAAGACCAGGTATAGCTGGGTGTGATGGTGCACACCTGTAATCCTGGCACTTGGGAGGCTGAGGCAAGAGGATAGCTGCAGGTTGAAGGCCAGCCTGAACTGGGCTACAGATTGAGTTCAAGGCCAGCCCGAACTGCAAGGTGAAACCCTGTCTCAGAAAGACAAAAAAAAAAAACAAAAAACAGAAAGAAAAAGCCCAGGTATGAGCAGAACTTGCTATGCAATGGTATTGAAGTCAGGCCTCAGAAACCCTGCTACTTAGCTGTGTGATCTAGGAAGAGATTTTCAAAGTTGGGGGTTAATCTTAACTTTTAAATTCCTCTTCTGAAATTATATTAACTTACAGTGGCATTTTTCAATTAATTAGTTTTTAATATACAAAGAAGTTAATGAGCATTTTATCAACCAAATTTTGGGTAATTTCATCTCACTGGTTTATTTTTTTTTTGAACTCAGGACCTTATGCTTGCCAGGCAGGTGCTTATGCCACTGAGCTATATCCCTGGCCTGATTATATTTATAAATTTGGAAATAAAATTCAGGAGTAGACATGGTGACTATAGTGAGAAACTTGCTACTAAGCAAAAATAAAAACAAAAGCAAAATCTAGAACATAGCCCTTAGAGAATTTAGTTATATGCAGAATACATATTCATTAGATAATCCTGAGATGTAACGTTGGTAGTATCTACTGAGTGCTAAATATGTACTAGACAGTGCTAAATTTTTAGTATATACATGTTTCCCAGGGGTGTGCTTCTTGCACTCATAGAACATATAACAGAAAAAGGATGACCTTTGTATTTACAATAGTTATACATTTTTCTTTTAAAATAAATTTACTACAGGCTGTGGTAGCACACACCTGCAATCTTTACCCTGTGGAAATTGAGACAGGAGGATTGCTATTCATTAAGAGGCCCAGCATGTGCTACATAGTGAGACCTTGTCTCAGACAAACAAAACAAAACGAAAAGCAAACTAAATGTACTGCAGTACATTACCTAAATCAATTTAAAGAAAAGTATTTAATGAATAAAAATAATACAGATGGTATGAAGATATGGAAAAGTCATGAAACTCATACAAATGACTGATTCTTTTTTCACTTAATAACTATAGTATATCATTTCTCTCACAATCCTAGGAAATAGGTTCTGTTTTGCTTACTTTATAGATGAGGAAATGGAGTTATCCAGAGAAAATCAGACCAATTTATCTTGACTTTGTTTCTAGAGAATTAACTTTAGAGCAAAATTAAAATTTGCTTTTTATCAAATAGCCCACCCTAAATATTTTTTTTCTTGAATCAACTGCTATTTTAACTGGCCATTTTTAAAAAAAAACTTATTTTGATATAATTTTAGATTTAAATTTAGGTAGAAAAAAATTACAGTAAACAAAATTTCTGTATATCCCCCATCTTATTTCCTTCACTGCTGATATGTTTTGACCATTTGTCAAAACTAAGAAACTGGCCAGGTGTGTTGGTGCACACCTGTAACCCCAGCACTAGAGAGGCTGAGGCAGCAGGACCACTGTGAGTTAGAGGCCAGCCTGAACTGCATAGTGAGGCCCTGTCTCAGAAAACCAAAACTAAGAAACTGGTATAAGTATACACCATTAGCTAATCTCTAGATTTTATTAGGAGTTTTCCATTAATGTCATTCATCTTTGTAGGATGCAATCCAGGGCACCACATTGCATTTAGTTGTCATGTCCTTTTCATTTCCTCTGGTGTGACTTTTCTTAGACTTTTCCTTGTTTCTGTCTTTTTCATGACCGTGATACTCTTAAGAGATACTGGACAGACATCCTATAGTTTGTCCCTGAATCTAGGTTTGTCTGTACCTGCTGGGTTTCTTCATTGTTTTTCTTTTTCCATGTTCTGTCCTTGGAAGCTAGTCACGAAGTCTAGCCTATCCTTTCAGCGGGCAGGGAGGATTAAAATCCTCTTGGAAGGGAAAGCATCTACATATATTATTTGGAATTTCACTCTAAGAGAGATTGCTCTCTTCTCTATTCATGTGTTGAACCATTTAACATGTTCACAACAGGGCTGTGATTGTGTGTCTGGTTGCTGGGCAGCACATACCACCAGTGGTTCTAGCCAGTAGAAATGTATGAAATAAATTTGTGCTCATGTATCATGATAGGTTCATGTATTATACATTTTGGGTGTAAATCCACCACATTATTTTATTTATTGTTCAGCTTTGGCCATTGGGATCTTTTTTAGGTTGGTTCTCTTTGGCATGTGTCATCTTTTTTGTTTTTTGAGCACTTCCTTACTTCCTGTCATGATGAGATGCTGTAGGCTTATCTTGTATTTTCCCTGCCCCAGCATTAGAGTCAGCAAGTTCTCCACAGAACCCTGGTTACTTTTATTGGCGAATGGTACAATATTTAGAAACTCAAGACCTAGACTCTGGATATGCGTGTTGCTACTGGCATATTGTTGCTTCTAGTCCCTCTCTTTAGAACAAGAAAATACATGTAATACATAACTAGTTTCTGTATGTACATAATAGCATGAGTTCATATTGATGTCTCTAATTCAGTACTACAATGTTTATTTTATATTTTACATTTTGATCTGTGATCCATTTTCAGTTACTTTTTGTATAAGCTACATGTATAATTTTTTGCATGCAGACATCCAGTTATTCCAGCACCTTGCAGAAGATTATCCTTTCTCCATTGAAATATCTTTGCCTCTTTGTCAGAAGTCAGTTGAATGAATTTGTGTGGGTCTGTTTTCCTCCATCTATCTGTTTGTTACTCCTTTTGCTAATATACTGTATTGGTTATGGTTAAGCCTTAAAGTTAAGTAATAAGAATATTATTGTCTTATTAACCCTTAAAGTCTTATGATTTAAAAGTTTGATTTTATTTGGTAATTTGAATTATTGTCCTTTTTTCACCCACCAGTTTCTTCTGAGTCCTTTGTCTATCCTATCTTCAGTGTGTCGTCAGCCAATACAAAAAGGTAGGAATTGTTCTTGCTTTAATGTCCAAATCTGGAGACCATTTTTTTCTTCACCACTGAGGGGAAGAGGACAGTACTGAGAATAGATGAAATCAGTACCTCTCACAGAAATGTCACAAAGATTTAGAGTTGAGAGATGGAGAAGATCTCAGCAAGGTTGGGTAAGCCAGGATCCACTAGAGAATGCTTGCCCTGTTTGGGAGGGCTATTCCATTTAGCTCTACATATTTTTAAAAGAATAGAGGTCTTGTGATCTGTTAGTCTCTTGTTTTTTCAGAAGTATGCATTTTTAAGTGAACTCTCTAGATTTAAAAATATTGGAAGCTAATCCAAAATTTTAAATAAGCCGGGCGTGGTGGCGCACGCCTGTAATCCCAGGACTCGGGAGGCTGAGGCAGGAGAATCGTTATGTGTTCAAGACTAGCCTGGGCTACAAAATGAGCTCAAGGCCAGCCTGAACTGCATAGCAAGTCTCAAAAGACGAAAAAAAAACCCCTGTCTCAAAAAGACGAAAAAAAAACCCCAAAATTTTAAATAATGCATGAGATGACTAAAATGTATCTGTTAGTCAGATTTGGTCTGAGAGCTTCCGGTTTGGAACCTCGTAAGTCAAATCCTAGCATTCTCTCCTAATGCATAAAGATTGCCTCAGCTATATCTATCCAACCAAATTTCTCCATCATTCCAAAATTTCTCTCCCCTCCCCTCCTATCTCCTTTCCTTCCCCACCTCTCTTTTTCTTTCTTCCTTCCTTCCTTCCTTCCTTTCTTCTTCCCCACTCCCTCCCTACCTTTTCTTCTCTTCTTTTCCTTCCTTCCTTCTTTAACATCTTTAGAGTCCTGCCATGCTGCTGTATGAGGAAAAGTGAACTTACTATCTTCACTGCCTAACTAAAAAGTTGTTCGATCCTAGTTTGCTGGTTATTCTGGTTGCCTATGGGCCTGTGAGATTCAATGTTAAGTCTGCTTACTTGCTATGATACCCCAAGAATTTCTGTATGTTTACATGGGTAGATATTATCATAGAGTGATGTCAACTTCCAAAACGATTCTACGTATTTGTATGTGATACTACAGAGGAAAGTTCACTGGAGTTGGAGGAGACCAGGATTTGAGTCTTAACACTGCCATTCGCTAGTTACATTCTCTTAAGTAAATGACTGATCCCTCCCTAAGTGGACCTCAGTTTTTTCCATTGTTATGTAATATTTATCAACTTTTTATTTCAAGATCTCCAGCTGAAGAAGAGTCTTCTGTGGGACCTAACACATGTATTAACTTCTCGAAACAGACCAATACACAGAAAGCTGTGAATACCAGAGACACAAATAAGGAAACAAAAGACCAGCTCATCATTGTGCGTAATTCAAAACCAAGCTTCTTCTGTACATGGCTTTCACATGTAGAACCTGAAGGCCAACATTTGCCTCTCAGCAAAGTTAGCTTGGGTTATAAATGCTGTGAACTTTGCAGATGGCAATTTGTTGTAGTGGCAGCAGCAGTAGGAGACTAATCAGTAGGCTTAAACTGATATCTCAGCGCTGGTATTGAAGTGGAACACTTATGAATGAGTTGTTTCCAAGAAAGAAAAATTATTATTGGTTAGCAAAGATTTAGAGGGAATAGGTATATTCAGTTTGACTTGGGCTGGCAAACAGTGGCATGGGGGAAATCCAGCCATAGCCTATGAGCTATAAATGGTTAACTTTTTTTTTTTTTTT